TGTCATCTTATGAGAAATGACTGGAATATGACAATCAACAATCAGTAAAGCTAAGCTCCCCTTTTTACGGAAAAAGGTAAAAGAACTTTCTATAGAAAATAAAGTTTCAAGTCTCCATATTAAATCTTTTTATTTATAAAATCCTGCTTTACCATGGGTTATTGATCTCCACCTATGAGGAATCTTGCTAAAATCATGCATACTTCAGTTACAAGACTAGTAATAGAACTGTTTCTCCTTCAGTACTAGGCAATCAATCAGGCCTAGAGAGAAAATAGTTTGCACTCCTCCACGGGGAAAAAAAGAAAAACCAACCCTACTGTTTTCAATATTTAACACAATGTTAGTACATCCCAATTCCAGTTCCAAGGCCTTTACCGAGAAAACCTCCTAAAATGCACTGAAATTGGTGGAATGTTTATAATTTAAGTTAATCCTTGTACTGGACTGGTGCCCAGTTCTGACTGCACGAATACCCCAGTATTTTCCACATCTTCCTGCTCCCAGAAAAGAATGATAGCATTATAAATTAGAGACTCAGCAGGCTGTAATATTCCAACATGATTCCTCTAGTCTTTCATCTTATGAGAAAGGACTGGAATATGGCATTGTACAATCAGTAAAGCTAAGCTCCCCTTTTTACGGAAAAAGGGCGTATTTAAAAGAACTTTCTATAGAAAATAAAGTTTCAAGTCTCCATATTAAATCTTTTTGATTTATAAAACAACAGAGTACTTCTTTTGCACCAGTGCCATTGTAAATACATGTATACAACACATCAAACAGTGTTCAGCTCAGTAGTGCACCCAAAAATCTTGCCAGTATCGAGCCCAACCCAGCAGGAACCCAACCCTCTCTCCAAGGCACGCAGCAGGAAAGAAACCTCAGAACTGTTATGGTTTTTTGCCCTAACTATATTCAGACACATAGAATTTACTTTAAAAAAAAAAAAAAAAAAAATTGTTTACCCAGGCTGACAATATGCTGTAATAGTGTCAGCACAGATTTGGGGGCAGTGGGGAGAATAAGTTTCCACTCTAGAAGACTTAATGCCACCAACATCCAAGTTTGCTGCATGTGAAGAAATGACATCCTTCACACTGTTAAACAATTAAAAATGTTTTTTAATTCTACAAATTTACAAGGAAAAAAAACAAAAACAAAACAAAACAAACCCAACGAAAAAACAAAAAATAAAACAGAAACTGTTCTGGGATTGTACTTCAAGTTTTCCTTTGTCAAATTTTGTAATGATCCTTGGCTTTTTAGGTTAATTCCAGTCCTCTAATGGAATGCAGCAGTTAGTTATACTCCACACCCAGCCAAGAGCCTTTGAATCTGTGATGACAGTTGACTTTTTCCCTGTGAAAAAAAACATCTAGTCCCCCTGACGTGAAGAACAGAACTGGGGCACGCAGAAATCCACTCACATGAACGGTTTTCTTCCCACCCCCACCCCCCCTTTCATGTTGAGTTTAAAACTTGAGGCTGAAACCAGGTCCTGCAGCAGATGCTCCTTGATTTGTGGTGGTCAGATGAAAACCTGTGTCTTTCAGATCATCATCACCCTGTGAAAACCAATCACAATTAATTTATCAGGAAGTGTCTGTGCAGATGTATTTACCTCTCCAACACAAAAAACTAAACAACAACAAAAAATAAATCTAAGTATCTCTAGGAAATGAGAAACAAATGTTTGATTTAGTGGCATCATAGCTAAGGTCGATGCAGAGTGTTATTCATGATCTTTAAACATTGCTATTTGAAAAGTTGTCTTTTCTAAAGGCACCTCAAGTGTATTCCTAGTTTGCATACCTACTTTGACTGCACATACAAAAGATGAAAAAAGTTTGTGAACACACTGTGTAAATCAGTGTAAACGACACTTATTCAGCATCTGATGAAACACACTCTGCATACCCTCCACGTCAATTTTTATACCCTCAAAAATCAAGGCTGAACAAACTTTTAGGCTACTTCATCTGTTAAATTGGGCACAACAACCGTACAGTGCCATTTTATCTATGCTGAAACATGGAAATAGTAATAAGAAGTTGATACAATTAAGGCACCCGAGTGTAACATGCCATACTTACAAGGGCATCTTTTTCAGCCAACTTTTTTTCAAAATGGGCAGCACAATCCCCACAGATAGAACGAACACCAGCCTTGCCTTTTTTGAATTCTCCTCCAAATATTGGAAAAAGGAGACTGTTTCTATCCACAAGATATGCATAACTTACCAGGCTTTGGATTTTTTTCAAAAATAAATTTGCAGCTTTGAAAGCTTAGTAGAAAGTGTAAAACAATGCACACTTTCAAAAGAAAAATTGTTCTGCACTGTGATAAAACCAGGCATCATTTCTTTCTCAGATTATGCACTGAAATTATGATTCTGTGAATACAACAGTAATTGGACCTGCCCTTTGAGAAGGAACAGAGGGAAATCTGGACTTCTATAGTGTCTTTTTCATGCAAGTACAGGTGAGTCTTAGGATGCCAAGCCCCAGAAGGCTAACAAAATGCAGTCCACATGAACTTTTCCAAAATCAGGATTTGGACATGTCCAAGGACATCAGAAGTCTGTGTCAGTTGCCTCGATCTGCTATGCTTACCAACTGACTGTATCCAAGGCCTCCCTCGGGTGGTCGTGGGCTAGTGCCACGTTTTACCCTTTGTTGTTCACTTTTTGCTGGCCAGGTGGGAAACATGGAAGGGTCAATAGGAAGGGGAGTCTCTCGGAAATACTCATGCTTCAAACCGTCTTCAGCAGTGATTCTTCTGGCAGGGTAGTATGTCAAAAAGCTGAGAAGAATTTAGGAAGACAAGGAAATAGGGAAGAAGAGAGACACAGGGGCAGAAAGAAGAAAAATTTTAGCCCAAAAATTATCAATTCTTCAGAAACACGACTTAGAATTTTGATTTTTAACAAAGAATTC